AAATAACTTTTTATAATGTTCAATGCAGGCAGCATCCAGGACAATATGAATATTACAAGAATTATGATGATCTAGAGGTAAGTTGGTCTTTACATTTTTTTTTTAAATGTATTTCAATGTTTTAGATTAACATGCTGACATGTTTTTTTAAGTGTTCTTTAACTAAGAATATTTATCTAAACAAGTGAATTTCTGTCACAGATTCACTTCCGTCGAGACCATTTTCTATGTGATGATGAGGGCTGTCTTGCCAAGAAGTTTATTGTCTTTCAAACTGAAGCAGAGTTGAAGGTGATTGAGAAAGCTCCATTGATTAGGTTTCTTTATGTATGCTGTTCAATCTAAAATTTCTTTGTTCGTGTGATCACAGGGCAGGGTTGGGGTTGGGGGTCTTTGTTGATTTAGGTCTCTCTTACTGGATCAATTCAAGTCAATTTAATATTGTTTCTATGTTTCAGAGACATAATACAATTGAACATGCTGGACATATGTCTCGTTCTCAGCGAAATGCTGCTCTCCAGGTACATGTTGTTTTTACTTTTAGAACCCATCATTAAAGGATGTGGTTCTTTCTAGATGATATCCGACTGCCTCATTTCTTCCTTTATGGTTCACTCATTTATGGGCACCTTTTGTAGTTATTTTGGATGTCTCTGTTTGTCTTGTTATTCATTTGATGATATCTGACCAGCATTTGTTCTTTTTTGGATTCCACTCATTTAGGAGCACCTTTTGTAGTTATTTGGATGTTTCAGCTTGTTTCTCTTGTTATTCATTTGCTGATTTCCATGAATCAGATTCCAACTAGCTTTCGATATCGTCGAAGCAATGAACAAGATAATCGTCGTGGAAGGGGACGGACATTCTGTCGTGATCAATCTGATAACCAACTCCCCATAGCCATTCAAGCTAGCCTGCAGACAGCAAATTCTGAAAGCACATCTCGTGATCGATCAGCTAGTGCGCAAGTGATTTCTGATCATGTAGATTCAAATGATATTGATCCAATAGTTCAGCCTTTTGAATCATTAACTACTACAGATCCTGAGACGGCATCGAGATATCTTCAAGCCTTGGGACACTCTTCTAGGAATGCAACTTTGCAAGAATCTTCCTTTCCTCCTCTCTTTACGATTCCTACCACTGGTCAAGAAAACTCCAAAGATGAATCAGAAGGTTTGCCTAATAATACAATGGCAGCGCATCTCCGGCGCCAGGCCAACAGAAATGCAACTTTAATCAATTCACCTCAGCAATGGCCTACAGCAAGCCATGGGCATGCATCAAGTAGTCCAGCACTATATAGGCCAGCATTAAATACATTGCCTTTGAGTTCAAGAAGTTCTGCTGGTGGACCTGGTCTCTCTAGTTATGCAAGTTCAATTCAGGCTCAGTCTCAGGCCCGACCCTTAGTGGTTCGTGGGCATCTCCCAGCTGGTTTGTTGGGGAGCTCAGGCAGCACAGGTAGGATGAGCCACTCTTCATCAGCCCCCAATCTTGCTGAGACTGGATCATTGAAACCCTCTATTTCAGATTTTCCTCCAGTTTCTGCAGTGCAGATGCACAAGATGCCCTCCAGTAACCAGGGTGTGCTGAATGTGGAAGATGTTCAAACTGCAAACAAGTCATTGGTGGAAAGGATACGTGCTGCTCTTGAAAATGACGAGGATAGATATGCTCTTTTTAAAGATATATCTGGACAGTATCGTCAGGGTTCAATTGGCACAGGAGAGTACCTGGATTATGTGCAGCAATTTGGCCTGTCACATTTAATTCTTGAGTTGGCTAGACTGTGTCCTGATGCTCAGAAGCAGAAAGAGCTTGTTGAAACCTACAATGCTAGTTTGAGAAGCAATGGGAAGAAAGATAATGGTTGGGGCCGTGGTAGTACCCATTTAAAAGGCTCTAATGGATCTACTAAGAAAGGCAAGGGAATAGCCGTTGAAGATAGCAGTTCAAAGGATAGGTTGGCGGATAGCTTTATTAACTCTGTTCGGGCTCTGCAGTCAAATTACAAGCCTGTGGAAGAAGAGCTGCAGCTATCGAAGGATGGGTATCGGACTGCCAGAGGCAAGTCAAATGTCATTCATAATGAGTTGCAAATGGAACCAAGAATCCAAAATGATTCTTTATCTAGTAAAAATATAAAAGATGGGGGTAATGAGAAGCAACGGAAGAAAACCTCCAAGTTTCATAGAGTGAGGCTAGGTGATGGTTCAATGGGAGCCCTTTTGGATCTCCAAAACTCTGATCCTGATCCTCACGACACGGGGGAAAACAGGATAGATGATAATGGTAATTCAGGACCTGTGCGTGGAGCCTGGCGAAAAGGTGGGGGACAAAAGCTATTTTCATGAACAGTATTTCAGTATAGTAAATAAGAGGGACGGGTATTAAACAAACGCACAATAGAGATGGAATGGATTCTGGCAAGCTCCTTTGGTTGCTGTGGTTTTGCAACGTGATGCCATTTTTGAATTCACTTCACCGATAAGGTGATCAGCTTTTGTTACCGATAATGTAATTGAGATGGGTTTGTCCATCGCACACAGTTGATATCAGAAATTGTTCATAGACATCACGAATGAAGAAAGCAGAAATAATTTTAATTGTTCGGATGAAGTAATAAGTAAAGTGGTGTCTGTGAAATTGTGTTTATGATTGAGTGGTAAAATTTACTTTCAATGACTTTTGGAGGAAGGAGATGTGTAAACTTCCTACAGCAGCGATAGTAGTAAAAAAATTGAGTTTGAGAATATTTTTTAGCCATAATCAGTTTCAGTTGAAGAGGAAATTTTGAAAATGATTTTATTTGCTGAAGTTTTTGTTTATTTATTGGAAAATAGTTTTTTTTAAGTAAATTTTAAAAAAATAAATTATTTTTAATGTTTGGTGATATAATAAAAAATAAATTGAAAATATTTTATAATGTTTGATTATGTTATGGAAAATAATTTATTAATAATTTATTTTTTTAATTTATTAAAATAATAAAGAATAAATATTATAAATTAAAAAGTTGAATAAGAATGAAATTGGTAAAAATATATTTTCACAAATTATTTTAAATAAAATAAATAATAATTAAAATAATAAAGATTAAATCTAACAAATAAAAAAAAATGAAAAATAAAGAAATTAAAATGATAATAATTATCATTTTATCAATTATATCAAATAAAATAAGTAACAATAAAAAAAATAAGTACTAAATTTGATAAATAAAAAATTTCAATTAAAAATTGATAAGAAAAAAAAAACAATTATAAAAATAAGGTTTAAAGTTAATATAAAAATTAAATTATAAGAGATGAAATTAAAAAAAATATAGCAATTAAAAGTTTGAAAACCAAATTTGATATAATCAACAAATAATGTGATATTTTTAAATTTTTAACAACTTCCGGAAAGTGTTTTCCATCCAAAATAAAAAGGAAATACTTTTCTAAAAATTAAGTTAAATTTTTTTTTGACAGGAAAATATTTTTATTCTTTTCTAAAAATTAAGTTAATTTTTTTTTTGACAGGAAAATATTTTTAGTTGATTAACTTTTCTAATGATAAATAAATACAGAAAAATTTTAAAAAATTATTTTTAAAAAATTATTTTTTATCAAATAAATAAGAAACAAGGTTTAAAAATAAATTTTCTTTTAAAGAATCCAATGAAATGGATGATACAAAGAAGAGGTTTAAAATTGAGTTAAGACAAACTCCATTAAATCAACAGCTCAAAGTTTATCAATGAAGATTGGCTACCACCAACAGATCTCCGCATCCTATCATGCACAATAGTAGGCATAATCTCATGAACACTGTAATTTATGGATGTACTATCATGGACCTTTGTTAACACTGTTAAGTTGTCATGTTCATATGAGCCAGTTAATATTGCATTTTTGGTAGCTGGGTGCAAGCAATGCTCCTATTGAGACCTTTTATCATTAGCAGACATATCAAAATACTAATTTCATTTGTGGAAGTAGAGGAGATTTAGCATCAACCATTAGTCTTGGCTCCCCCAAAAACCTGTGATTGAAGAACTCCTTGAATGTTAATCAGTCAACAGGGTTTCAGCATTATACATATCCTCATAGTTTGGATGCAACTCTTCCAATGCTGCACCTTGTGGAAACCTCATTTCTGTAGATATCAAAATATTATGGAAAAGTTGATATTGACTATTGCCATCAAATGGAGTTCTTTTTTGGCGCAAGAAGAATAGCCTTGAACTTCATATGACCCTTGAGAGAAAAGTTTTTAACAATTAAATAACCCTCCCAAACATTGGTCAAGCTCTTGTACAAAGTGCTCCTCTCCTCCTTGGTGATTTTCTGAAGCTTGCACAACCAGATAAGCTTATGTTTGTTAAAGAATTACCACACATGAAAACCCTCCTTAATCTTCATTTTCTTGGATTCAGTTTCCTTTTCCTCGTCAACTTTCTCAATATCACCCTCCTCTTCTTTCTTTGGTCCATCATCCATATAATTCTCAGCTTCTTGCACTTTACACCAGAACTCTCATTCTTTTCATCAAACTCTCCATTTTCTAAAGATCTGGAAAAGGGAATGGAATATGGATGGGGGCGGGGGCGGGCTTGGTTAATTCTTGGGGAAGCGGATGGTTTGGAGATAAAAACGATGAGATGACATGGGCAGGTTGGTGAATTGATCGTTGGACGTTGATGGAAGTGGGTATGGAATGTTAGTCATCTGGAGTTAGGTGGAGGGAGTGATGGTTGGTTAAGTTTGAGGGTGGAGAAAATGTCGTAATGAGGTAGTGGTGGTGGTGGTCATGATGGTAATGATGTCTCTGGATTGGATTCATTATAAATGAGAGCAGAGTGGGAAACAGAAAAGGGAGAAGTGGTTGGTATAAGCGGCGGCGAACCCCTCCCCGGTGTATTGTGGTATAAGCGGCGGCGAACCCCTCCCCGGCGTATTGAATTATTAACTGTGCATACTGTTTTTAATATATGGAAAGCCGCGAGTTTGAAGTAGGATAACATGCACACGTAAGAAAGGAAGTGGTGAATGGGGTTGGGTTTCCTTCCTCCGTTTACGACAGTGCTTTTTTATTATTACTAGTAATGTAATATTGGAAACAACGACAACCGGGGATGTAGCTCAAATGGTAGAGCGCTCGCTTTGCATGCGAGAGGCACGGGGTTCGATCCCCCGCATCTCCACGTGCCACGTTTTCAATTATGTTAATTCAATGCTTTATCTCTCTTATTTTTTTATTCCTTTTCTTTTCCGACATACTTAAAGCAACCCTGATAATTAAGGAATTAAAATCCTGCACTGGTTTTATCCAAGTCACAGCATTCTCAAGCTTTGGGGATGTTCGTCACTCTTCATAATGTGATCCGCTCTGGATTTGGTTGCTGGTCCATCAAATGATGTGGATCCTCACAGGTTCCTACCGAAATACTTATACAGAAGAGTGGGAAGAGAGAACCATTTACGGGAAGAGAATCAGGAGCATCAAAATGTTCAAAGAGATTGCTTGGATTGTGAATGCAATCTGCAATCAATAAAATCAGAAAGATCTGAACCATGATCAGCATCTACTGCCCAGCTAGTGAACCACCATGTCATTGCATGAAATTGTTCCTTGGTGATCCCGGACTCGGACATGAACTTTCTGTCTGCAAGGCGACGAAAGTTAAATTTAAAGCTCATGAATAGAAAAATGCACATGTATGCTTAAACTGCATGTAAGAGTATGCAGGGTAAGGTATGTTAATTACTTGTGTAATGTTTCCACTGACAAAGATGATGACAGCATGTTGCTATTGCAAGGCCTTTAAGGTTACAATTGCTCCTGCAATCTTGCATGCTATCTTGACTCCATTGCTAGACAGGCAACATCTCGGTGTCAAATCTGCAGCACAAATATTAAAACAACATGACAGAGGAAGATGTTTAATGGAACAAATCTCTACCAAAAATGAGGAAAAAATGATAAATTATCTCTACCAAAAATGAGGAAAAAATGATATAAAATTAAAAAAAAAGTAATACTTTTCAGTCCTATTTAATGTTTGGGGAAAGGAAATATTAAAACATATCGCTCACCAGTTGCAGGCCCACAGAGATGTTTACCAATGGCCAAATAAGGGACGCCCCTTGAACGCTCAACAGCATTCAAGTTTAAGTCCTCAACTGGTAAGGTAGAATTTGTTGAAGTCAGAACTCAAAGGGCAGCAGAGCTTTTTCCTAGCAGAGATCAGAAGGAAGGTAGTGCTAATACCAAATTCCCACTCATACCATCTGAGGAGCGAATGTGCCATGAAACTGAAGAGTATAAGGCGAACAAGTAAAGAAATCTTGTATGAACATAAACATTATGCTGTTGCTACTCATTACAGTTGATATCACCCAAAATTAAGAGGAAATGCATTTAAAATTTATCAAGCTGACTCCAGTATATATGAAAAGTATATTTGATATCATGGTAGCTTTTATAGTTATAATTTTAAAAAAATTATTTTATAAAAATTACTTTTAATTCAGGTTAAAAAATTATTTTATAAAAAGTATTTTAATTGAAGTTAATATGATATTTATATATGTTTGGTTAAAAATGCTTTTCAAATTGAGGTTATAAAATAACTAATATCTATATTGATAATTTTTAATTTAAATATTGCTATTACATCATGAAATAAACGATATTGTATATAAAATATTGCTATTACATCATGAAATAAACGATATTATATATAAAATATTTTATTGTTCGATTAAACTATCTATAATTACATCATATATGAAATCCAACTGACAATGACTACAGTTTCTATGGTTTCTTAAGCTTGCAATAATATCAGGTAAAATATCATCAGAAATAAAATTAAAATTGTAATTAAATTATGCAAATATTACATCATCATGCGATTTCTTTTTAATTTATGTAGTGCCATTGAATAATGTTAAATATTAGTTTTTTGAATAACACACAATAAAAAATAAAAATAAAAATAAAAATTAAATTTTTTTTACTGAGTCGGACCCAGTCCAATACATTTAGGTTTGGGTCGGACCTGATCCAACCATGAATAGTGGAGCCATTATCTAATGTTTACGTGAACAGTAAAGAGTGAATTGCAAAAATGAACAAACTAATACATTTAAGTTTGGACCGAATTTGATTCAACTATAAATAGTGAAATCATTCTCTAATGTTCACGCGAACAGTAAATTATAAAAGTGAATAGTGGAGTGTGAAATTCTATTATTTACTTTTGCAATTCACTCTCCACAGTCAACACCACCATCAACATCATAGGAGAAGAGGAAAAGCAGCTCTCAGTTGCTTTCGACAAACTTTTAGTTTTAATATAATTTTTCATAGGTCCCACAAACAATAAATTAAGATCGCAGAAGAAAGTACGGTTAGCTATAAATAGTTGAATTTAGATATGGATAAAAATTATAGTTAAAGTTTATATACAGTAACAAAATAATAAAAATTATGGTTAAAGTTTATATATAGTAACAAAACATGTATAAAATATTTGGTTATTGTGTTTATGAAAATGGTTGCAGTTGTTTTTCTAAATGTCTTTTATTTTGAAATATATTAAAATAATATTTTTTTTATTTTTAAAAAATAATTTTTGACATCAGTGCATTAAAATGATATAAAAATATTAAAAAATATTAATTTGAAGTAGAAAAAATAAAAAAAAATTAAATTTTTTCATAAATACTTATAAAACTTAGTTAAAAGATATGTAAAATCAAAATTAGATTTCAAACTTAATTTTTAAATAAGTCCCGCAACATAAAATACAATTTAATAGATTACCAAATATTTTATCATGTTTGTTTCACCGCAAATAAGAAATCTAGCAGGAAATGAACGCACCCTTCATATAATATGTAGAACAAAATTAAGAATGCCCGAAACTACTGTAAGGCCTTGTTTAACAGCAACTTGGAGTGCAGAAAGGGAGCAATAAAAGGCAACAATAGCATGTTAGCTCAAGCCCCTTAAAACCACCAATTATATGTATTGTTTTAAAATCTTTTCATGTAGGGTATTAAAATCTAAAATATATATAATTATGGGTAAAAGAGTTCTTTCTTGAGTTGAACAGGACAAGGTAAAATGCATGTGTTTTTGGTAACATGAAGTAAGATTGCATGAAATTAAATAAAACATTTGTATGTAGGTGATGGTTATAAAAATTTAGAAATGTCTTTACCCTCCACTTCTTACTTTATCTATAATTATTTGGTAATCACATTAGATTTAATTATATTTTATTTTATTCAAGAAAATTGAAATAGCATATAAAAACATGATTAATATCAATGATCAGATAACGTATGGAACTATAGATATTTTTAAAGTAAAATATTTCCATAGAAATATTGGATATTGTGATTCTTTTATTGTGATTCACACACGCACAAATTCCATAGAAATATTGGATATTGTGATTCACACACGCACAAATATAAAAGTGAAGCTTTCAAGCAAAGGAACAAGAAGCAAATTAAATATGAGTTTCGAATATTTAAGAGGAATTTGCAAATATACAATTTAAAAATTATTTTCTGAGGAATTTGAATTTAAACTTGGAGACAAAGGGATGAAGAAACCCAAATAAAAAAAAAATCCCATTAAAGTCCTATTACAACCTTTTTAGAAAAAGAAAAAGAAACTAGGGTTTCTTCTTACCAGTGTAGCTGTTGTAATTATTTGTGAAAGCAGCTTCACGATACCAGAAAGGATGGAGAGAACAAGAAACTCGTGATGGTTCTCTTTGCCGTGTGGAAGAAAAGATGATGTCGCCATCTTACATAGAGAGCCTCCTCATATATGAAAATCAGACATTTATGCTAATTATTTTGTTTTTTGCTCTTCTTTTTTTAAAAAATTGTCTTTTTTTTGGCCTGGCTGTATACAGTAATCAACTCCACATCAGTGTTGTTGTCGTTAATGGTCATATCATGTGCAAAACATAACGCCAGCCAGCTAAAACATCTCTGGCAAATGACGAATCAAGTCGTTTTACATTAAAAAAGAAGAAGAAAAGGAGACAAAGATCTCTAATTGATCACCACTTTTCTCTTAATTTCAATGCATATAAGACCCCTTTAGTCTACTTTTGCAACACTCTTCTCTCTAATTGTTAATAACCATCCCACGTATGATTGTCTCTCAACTGCAAGGCCTGATCATGTCTTAAAATGCGACCTAATTGTGGGAATTTAATCAAATCCAGGGTAAGAAAAACATCATAACAAAGCATGGAGGAATATGTATTGATCTGCTAATTTGGGAATTACCTTTGCCACTTGTATTCGTGGAAAGAAGATTAATCGTCTTCTCCTTTCACATACTGTCTCTCATCAGCAAGGCCTAATTAGATCCTAAGATTCTAACTAAATGGAGGAATTGAATCATCTCCATAGCAGGAGATAATTCCTTTAATGTCCCATTGGATTATTTATTAGTTTGCTTCATCATTTAGTAATTGTTTGGAATTGGGATGTAATTAAAAATAAAAAGTAACAAAAGCATGCGTTTGCTGCTTCTGAATATATTTTTATGGGAACAAATGTTTCGCTGTGTTATTATATAGTCTTTTAGTTTCTTGTTTGTTTCTACATTTTAAAAGTGCTTTTAAAAAAATTTATTTTTTTTTATTTTTTTTATTAACTTAAAATTAATATGTTTTTAGTATTTTCAAATCATTTTGATGTGTAGATATCAAAAATAATTTTAAAAAAATAAAAAAATATTGTTGGTATGCATTTTAGCACGAAAAGCAACAGCAACTACACTTTCAAACAGGCACTAAGGTTTTTATTAAAAGCAACAACAACCACACTTTCAAATAGGCACTAAGGTTTTCACTATATTTTAGGTTGGATTTTAAAAAATATATATAACAAAAAATATCAAAGATGTAAAGAACTATTTGATATTTAATATTTATTTTTATAAAATAATCCTAACTTGTTATGTCAACTTTAAAATCTTATTATTTAATTTTTTATTTATTTCAAGTTTAATATTAAATTATGTTGTTTCAACGTGACTTAATTGATTTGATCGGTTTCAAGATATTTTAATTAATTGTTAAAAATATCTTATAATTAAATTGAGAAAAAAATTATGAAATTGACATAAAAACCTCTTAATCTAATTTCTTTTCTAATTTAAATTTAAAATTATTCTATATGAGAATTATTTTAATATAAGTCAGTTAACTTGTATGGTTCAAAAACAACTTGGTAAATCAATAAAAAAAAATCTTAAGATAAATTGAGAAAAAAATATATGAAATTGATAGAAAAAACCTATTGATCCAATTTTTTATTTAGTTTATATTTAAAATTAAATCATATAAAAATTATTCAATAAAATTTAATTAACATGAACTTCAATAAAATTTAATTAACATGAACTATCCTCATTTAAATTCAATAAAAGATCATGAAAAGGAATTTTTTTATTAATATTATAATAATTTCTTTAAAATCTGACGCCGTACAAAAATATTATTAATTATGGTTCAAACTTCTCAAAAAGCAAAAGAAAAAAAGAAAAAAAAAAAGAGCATCACAAGCTTTTCAAACTTGTTTCCATGGTGACCACATGAATCAGTACATCATATTTAATAGTAGTGTAAGACAATCCACCAAAATTGATGTAAATGTCAAAATTATCATGGTCCTACAAGCAGCCCCACGAGCTCTGCCATCTATCCTGAAACCATTTCACTTGACTTTTATATCACATTCTAACAGCTGCAGATTAGGTAGGTGGTGGTGGCCAGCTAGAAACAACTAAGCAGAAGAATGCAGGGCTTTTCCTCCAATATTTATGACTTAACAGGCCATGTGTGCTTGCTCGTCATCCTACCTCACGTCAAGTGTCAATGGCATTTCTGCAAGAAATCGTAGTTTTGGGTCTTCTAGTCCTGTGCATGACTGCAGCGGTTTCTTCACATAGCAGGCATTCGCGTTACACGCCTCCTAATGTTATGCGATTAACTGATGCTTTTAGTCATGTCTCAATAGGTCAAGAATATTCTACTTTTTTTGGAGGCTCAAATACTAAGCTGCTAAATAACGGGTCTTCTGCTAATCTTGCTCTTGACAAATCCTCAGGTTCGTATACAGCCAGATAACTTGTGCCGTGGTAAATGGTGTTTGATCTTTCTGAGCTAATGAAGTAACTTTGACCTTTTATTTTCTGTGTTCTTTAATTTGCAGGCTCGGGATTGGTCTCGCGGAACAAATATTACTATGGATTCTTTAGCGCTGCCATAAAGTTGCCGTCTGGTCTGTC